AACAACAGAACCCTTCAAAGGACTACTCTAATCCAAACAATCAGACTTCACAACCAACTGTATTGTTTCCCTATTGCAAAACCTTTTCCTTTATACCGGAACATGTTTTACAAAATTTCAGCATGATGTTCTCAGTCCGCTTGTTCTTATAAGAAGGTTCAACTCGATCTAACAGGTTTGCCTCTTATATGTACATATACAACATTTCTAAGTACATGGATGTAAAGCCTTTTAGTGGCGATCTTTGCATCCTTTCTTCTTCGTCAAACCCAGCTATTCTTTTCCTCTGTCAAGTAGCTCAACCATTGAAGGCAGCTTCTGTTTTCGATGACTCATTTCTAGGATAATTTAAACTTAATAAATAATTGGTTTAAAAAAGAGTTTGCAAGCAGCTTCCACCACTAAAAGCCTCCAAAGCCATCGCAATTTACCGATACTTACCGCCTCCATCCACCATACTGGATAAAGCGCAATAAGTGGTCCCTAGTTTGTCACTACACATGCCGGGATTGACTGGAGGATTACGAAAACAATAATTTCAGAGTCAAATAAGAAATCACGATAATCATAATTTTGGTCTCGAGATCATGTTGGTTTAAATCATCTTCGCCTTGGATTTTGACAATCACATCTCTAATGGGATCAGGCTTGACAAAAATCTTTCCGTCGGTTGTCCAGAACTTCCAATCTCTGTGTCTATGATCATGGACTTTCTTAAATAGACCAGCTCTATCAGCAGTTAGGTTCTCGTTGATGGAAACTTTTTGGGGGTCCACTCCCAAACCTTTTAAACCACTCTTCTAGCGAAGTTTCCAGTGCACTCAGTACATTTGCTCTTTGCTGTAATAATTGCTGAAATGGACAATTACTGGTCTCATCGACTTGCTTCCTTTTATCAAGCAATGAGTTAGGTCGATTTCCTTCTATGTTAGATCTATTTCCATTAGTTTTGCCAAGCTGATGACAATATCTTCGGGCTCTTTGTCATCAGTTTCAGGGATTCCATGTACTTTGAGGCTGAATTTTCTCGTGTATTGTTCCCCATCATCATGTTGCACGAAGATTTTGTCTAACTTCTCTTCAAACTTGGCGTTTTCTTCACTCTTTTTCTCTAAATCAGTTTCCAATTGGGTCATTCTTCTTTGTAATGCAATGTTAGTCTTTGCCATCTCCTTCATTTGTACTTGCAAAGCGGAGTTGTTCTTTGCCATTTCCTCCATCTTACTTTGTGTGAATTGAAGACTTTCACAAAGCTCCTCACAGCTTTGCTGCAAGGTTTTTTGCTGGCTTATTAGGCAGTTGGTGTTTGCTTCGATTCTTACTAGTGCCTCCCATATAGCTGCAAGTGCAGGATCTTGTATGTGCTTGGTGCTTGCTTCATTCATGTCCTTGTGTAAGTCCGACAGGCTTGCTTGATTTTCATTTAGCCCTTTCGCTTCTGGAGAGCTACAGGAACCAGCTAATGTTGAAAGGAAAGGGAAAAAATTCTAAAGAAGATATGAAGAAGAAAAAGAAACCACCCGAGTCTAAAAATGGGAAGACTCCTGAAGCACAATGTTTAAGGTGCCTGGGTCAACTACACCCAAAGAGACTGTCCAGCCAGAGAATCGAACTGTAAAGAGTGTTCCAAAGCAGGACATTGGGCGAAGGCCTGCAGATCTCAATCAGACAAGAGAGTGGGTGAAGTAAATTTTCCTGGGAGACAACAAGAAGAAGAGTTCTTCTTAGGTGAACTCACTGAATTATCTGCTGCCCAAGGAAGTACAGGAGATTCATGGAAAGCTAACGTTTCATAGAATGGACTGCTAGCAGAATTTAAATTGGATACCAGTGTGGATGTGACAGTAATTCCACCTAACCTGTATCACAGTTTGCAACCAGCTCCATTACTTAGCAGGACCACCAGGCTACTCATGGGTGCATGCAAACAGAAACTGAGCTGTCTAGGAACTGTCATAGCAGAGTTGCAAGTGCAAGGTAAGGTTGCTAAGGAGCAAGTGTATGTAATAGAAGATTTGGAGTGACCTTTGCTAGGAAGAAAGCCAGCTGAACTTCTAAAGCTGATAAGCAGACTTGACAGCCTGAGCAGTGATGATACAAAAATATTATTCTCAGGATAAATGAGCATAAGAGAAATGTTGAACTTGGCAAAAGGCCTTGTTAAGTCATTCTATTTGTACATGGAGAGAAATTATACATGTAATGAATCTCAATAATTGAGTAGCTTATTCCAGGCATTAAGAGAAGAGCAACATGATAATTCCAGCAGAGCAAGGGGAAATAAATTTACTCACTCATCTTTTTGCTAAATCTCAATAAATTAGGATTCCTGAAAATACAGACACCCATAGGGGAAGTGAGTCTCTATAGCCAAGAGTTGTAATTGAAAGGAAAGTGAGGGGAGTTCAAATGAAAAAAACCTTCCACGGGGGAAGTATACTTATGTTCTGGAATGACACATTTATCTACATGCAACTTAGGGTTACATTTACAGGTACATTTCACTGTAGTTTGCATGCAAATAAATTAATTCACTAATAACTACTTGAATTAGAAATACAATTTTGTTTAAAGTCTGTTAAGAATTTAAATTGTCTTAGCACTATTACTTCATTATGCATACCAAACATGGATTTCAAATAATTTACATTGTACATAACTTTAAAATATGAGCTACATGGAGGCCCACAGTGGCCTAATTGATAAGTTGAAAAAAAACTTTGAAAATGTATTCTGATGTTTGCCTCTTGTCAGACAATCAGTCCAATTTTTCAACCCTTTCACTCCTGAGATATGAAAGCTAGTTCCCCTATCTGATAATCCCTTCTTGTTTGATTTTCTAAGAATTTGGTGTTATTTCAAGACAAAATCTCCAATATCATTATTTGCTTAATTCTCATCCTAATTACCTGTCTGCTTGGCAGTCAATTAAAATTGTAAGAAGAATTTCTAAGCTGATCACTCTTAGGGGTTGAAAGGGTTCAAAGACCCTTACTCAAGATCAGAGTCCAACTCTTCTTCACCATGCCCATGCTGTAGGACAATAAACAATACAGAAATCAATCAACAATATAGAAATAATCATCTGGGAGCCAGCAAATAATGAGTCTTCAATGTCAAAGTCAAAGAAATCCTCATCATCACATTCCAGTGTGTTCTCATTTTCTGGCTCTTCTGATTCAGTGACATCAACATCACCAAAAACTTGATTGCATGTAAATGAGATTCCTTTAGCCACACTTAAATGCCAAATATCAACAAATTACATACATACATACATTTTATTTGTTATCAAATTAAAATTACAATTATAACGTGCTCACGGATAGCTGAGCTAATATAGGCAGGTCATGTTTGGACGAGTTATTAATATACAACTAGGTACAACTAAATACAACTGAAGGTAACAAGAGAACTAAAGAGACTAGAATTGACAACAATGACTAAAGACAACTAATAAACTAACAATATTACAAATAATAATTAACAACAGTTACGACAAGAGACTACAGATACACTAAAGCAAAATTATTTTAAAATGTCAGCAGAAGTGGAACTTACTGCACAATTTAGTCCTTGATCCATTTGTGCATCTCCAAGTGCACAATACAGCTTTGCTGGAGTAAACATTAGAGTGTTAACACTCCTTGCAGTGCAAAGATATTGCTTGTCGAGAGCCACCTTCAGGTAATTTAGTTTCCGCCAAAGAGTTTCTCTTTGTCCATCGCTCATTTCTCTGGAAAGAGAGTGTTCAACTGAGGCCTCTTGCATCTCTGAGGTAGGTAAGGGAAAGAAAACAAAATCACAGGAATCCCCCTGACATTTCCAGTTTCTTTAGCAATTGTCACAGCACTGATGAGAGGTTTCAAATGATGGCAAATTGGTACCATCATCATCAAAGCTTTCCAGGAGCATTTTTCTCCTGCATTTTGATGAATCCCGAGCATAAGTTTTAATTTCCTCCTCACAATACTTCATCATCGGACTGGAATATAGCATAACTGCCTTACATGTCGCTGACACATATCTCCCAGCTCTTCCACTCTCCTGTAAGTATGTCTCCAAGTCGTATGAAGGCCCATAATGTAAAACAACCTTGACATCCTTACAGTCAATGCCCATACCATAAGCAATGGTTGCTAACAGTACACAAACTGAGCCATCTGCTACAGCCATTGAATCAAGAATGTGCTCTTGGTTGAGTTCATCAATCCTGCTGTGAAACATTTCCATAGTCCTCTTTTTCAGGTCATGTGAATCATCTGCATACACCTCATCCCCAAGTTCTGCTAGGAAAGATCCATACAGAAAGGTGGTGACTTTGATGGTTTTAGAGGATATAATGGTTCGCTCTAATTTTCTTTCTGTTCTCTTAAATCTTTGACCATGATTTGAAAAGTTTTTGCTGGATCTGGGATAAGAGCCCTAACTGCATAACAAATGCTATGTCTGTTTGGACTCTCCATAACAGTGCTGGCTGATGCATTTCCAGAGATCACATGATTTTGAGTCTAGTTGACTATGGACCTGATCTCGTTGATTCTTCCAAACCACTTTCAGAGGGACCTTCTCCTTTCTTTGCTGCATAATCCCTTGAATATAAATTAATTGGAACACAAAGTCAGAACAATCCATGACAATAAAAACACTATTCTGAAATTGTTAATCGAGCTGCATGCTGGTAAATGTATGCATGTATGCATTAATCAAGCCTAATGTTTTGACCACAGAAAATAAACATAATAAGTGAAGTTTTAATTGTCACTGAAAAGCAAAAACTTTGGGCACTATTTTTTAAACTCGGATGTTGTCATTCTCGTCTGTTTTTATACAACGGTTTAAAACCAACCACAGTATCTGTATGGTTAATTTTTTATTCCTCCCTCGTCCTAATTTAAATCAAAAGAAAAGTATAAGCCTGATGTTGATTCTAGGTTGCATTTGTATAGCAAACAATATTATAATACACTCTCAAGTTATAACATGAGAAAAGTGCTTCAAATCTGATTCAGCTTCCTAGTGAGAAATGCAGTGAGCTTCATCAACAGCCACCAGACGTAATCCTTTTTTGTAGGCATCACCGCTGAGCATGGCTCGCCATCTTTTGGTGGACAAAAATGCCTCGGGTGAACTGTACACAATTTGGCACTGTCCTCTTTCTACATATTTTCTGGCCTGTTTGCAATTTTGTTTGTCTCCAATGATCTCAGCACTTATCCCAAGAGATTTTAGAAGGCAAACTTGGTCTAACATAAGTGAAACCAGAGGAGAAATTATAGGGACAATCAACTTGGCACATTTCACAATGTAGAAGAATATCGGAGTAGACTGAAAAATTAAAGACTTTCCCGACCCTATTGGTTGAATTAGGAACACATCTCCGCCGCTGACTAACTTTTCTTGTGCTTCCTGCGGTAAGTCTTTTAGACTTACAATCTGAAACATCTCTTAAATTCTCTCATGTCCCAAAGCCATCAACGCCACATCGTCCGCCATTCTGTTCACAATGATCTGACAAGATAATTTATGCACTGATTTATGCCCAACAAAAAATCTGCCGGCAGTTATCTGATTGGCCAAGACTAACAAGACTAACAAGAGAATCTGCCATGCCTTAGGGGGAGGAGCATGGGCTCCTTTCCCGAACAGTGGCTGGTGATAGAGCCTATGTTCTGACATTCCTAGTCTATTGTACAATTCCATCAAACCTGGTTCATACTCGGTCTGTGCATTCAAATCATAGTTCCAATCAATATCAACATCACAAGTGAAATGTGGTTGAGAAGGTATCTTAGTATGTTTTTCCTGTCGTGGATGAGGGGATAGGTGTGCAGCATTTTTTTATGAAATGCCCAGGTCTTCCGCAACAAAAACACCCTTTGTTTTGGCTTGAATCCAATTTTTGCCTCAACACAGGAATAACTGTCCGCCTCACACTGGGAGAATTCTGGCTCAACGTGAATGACTGCTGAGAATGGCCAATTAGTTGTGCCTAAGGCTTCAGAGGCTTCTTGCTTTCTGCCTTCAATGTTTTGCTCTCTTTGACTACCCGCCTGATACGCTTCTCATCATCGGAGTCGCAAGCTAAAGGCTCCTGAACATAACAATTGACAGCCTCCCAGCTGTATTTTTCAGCTAACATATGTCTATTTCTTTCCTTGAAGCTTTTCCTACCTTCCTCCAAGGCATCATTCCAGGCTTTTTCGTCGCTGGTGGATGCGGCCATGTCCAATTTATCCAGCACTTTCTCATTTAGCTCATACTGGATCTTGTTTCTTTTATACTTGAATTCAGGCTGTGGCAATTTTGTGTGGGATCGCTCTGTAAATGGCTGTGACTTCAGTTCCTTTTCGAGGAATTGCAGACACTCCTCGCTCCTTTCGTGCACCTCAAGGAGCTTTTTTGCCCACAATGGTGTGTTGTCTGGCAAGTCCGAACGGCTAGAAGATTTTGACTTTGAGCAGCATTCTTTCTTTGGTGAAGAATCATGGTGGGAACCTTTGGAAGACTCACGACGAACCTCTGCCCATTGGAGTTTGCTCCACGAACGTTTTTGAGACTCCCGTTCTGGACCAACGTTATGGACCAAAAGATGTCGGGTGGCCCTCAATTTAGGCGGCATAACTCGATCAAAGCGTATTAAAGCGCTGTTCATGACGAGATCCATCAGAGTCTGAAATTCCCAGCAGGACATGGGTTCTGATTTCTGGTTACGTCATGGTGTTTGTGCTAATCAGATTACAAATCTGTCATTGCTGTACTTTCTGTGGGTGTTTGCGGTGTGTGAGCCGTTTAGCATTTGACAGAATAATTTAATGCAGTAAACCATATGACCAGCCCGTAAAAGTTAAAATAGTTAATAATTCAAACAAAAAAGAGCCTAAGCTGCTTCGCGCTAAATTCAAAGTACGGTGGCGCGAACTAGAGCATGGCGGCAATTCCATGTTCTCTTCGCCTCCATCAAATTTGCGGACCGTCGCTTGATCTGAGCAAAGTTTGGTATGCTGTATCGAACGAATGGTTTCATAAACCACGAGCGTTCATCAGAAGTGATTCCTTTCCGTTTTTCAATGCTGATATCGCAGAAGTTCATATTTTTGACCTCTCT